CCTCCCAGAACATTGTTTTGTGCCACTCCCAACAGAAATACTCCAGGTGGACAACTTCAGCAATCAGGAGCTCCTCAGTTGCTCGTAGCAAATCCCACCTTGGAGTTTACAAAGACTTATGGGTAGAAAAGCCACACAAAGTAATTTACTACACCACAATGGGGTCTCCATAAGTTGGCCATTAACTCAAGGGCACCTAACAACAACATATTATTAGCACTACCACCTTCTGTTTCCCAGCTTTTGGAGTTTCTGTGTAGTTATTAGTTACTCAGCTCATCTCCCTACATTCAGTTATACTCCCCTCCAATCCGAACACCCTTAGAGCAAACAGAGAAGACTTTTTGAAATTTTAATCTGAGCATGTCATCACAATCTCCTCATCCCCCAGCTCCTCTTGTTCTTGAAACTCTTCTTTTGTTTTCCGTCATTTTAAAAATAAAACCCTGTATGATCTGATTCTAACCATTTTTGATCATGTTTGAGTTTCCCACCACTGGGCTTTGCTCATGCTTTTCCCTGGATCAAGCCATCTCAGCCTTGGCACTTACCAGCATTTCAGGCTAGATAATTCTTTGATGTGGGGGACTGTCTTGTGCATAGTAAGATACTTAGCAACCTCCCTGTCTTCTACTCACTAGATGCAAGTAATATCTCCCCTGTCGTGATAATCAATTATGTCTCCAGACAGTGCCAGATATCTTGGGGGGGGGGATGTTCTCCCTCTCCCACTGAGAACCACACTGGTCTATATAAATGTCCTTTAGATTTCAGCTATTGCATCCTCAGAAAACCTTTCCTAACAAGGCCAAATACCTCTTTGGCATGGACCAGGGCCCTCTGTTAACAGCAGCACATTTAAAGTTATATTTTTTACATTTATGTTTGTGGGTATATGATTATTAATCTTTCCACCATTAACCTGTGAGTTTCTAATGATAGGGATAGTGAACAGTATCTGACATCATGACTGACATAGAGCAGGTGCTCAATAAGTGATCTACAGAATAAATGAACTCATGGTATCCAAATAAAGATCTGGTCAATAAAAATTAGCGTCATTTGTATAGCCTGTCTTCTTCTGCTTCCCCAGCCTTTAGAGTTCCTAAAAAGTTATATTACTTACTGTAATATATGCAAATAAAAGTGCCTTTAAGCTTAGGCCAACATAGTTAAATTAGAATTCATTATTTTTTCTTTATTACCAAATGTCAAATGGTATCTTTTTAATCTTTGTCAGTTGTAGCATTATTTTTTAATCAAATTTTCCAGTTGAGCTGGACATGATTTGTTTTCTTATGTTTTGAAGTAGGAAATGCTTTTAAATAAAAGTGTTCAAATGAAAATTAATAGACTCACCAAACCTAGACTGAAAATTAAGTTAAACAAAAAGGAGTTTTTAATAGCTCTATATTTATTATTTCATACCATAATAATAGATTAGCAAATGATTTCAGAAAATGGAAGGGGAACAATCAGATTGACTCACTAGACTCATTGTTGAACTGAAAGTTACTGTACACAAATTGTCAGTTCTGTTCACATTGTTTAAACTCTTAAATGGTACAGCAGTTATCAAACTAAACTAGTAAAGTTTGGATACAGTCTTTTGAAGGATATTTAAAACTATATACCAATAAGTAAGGGAATAGTGAGTTGCCAAGGCAGAGGAAAAAAAAAATCAAAAGGGAAGCAAGACAAAAAATCAGCAACAGTTCAAATCAAAAATAAAATTACATTAAAACTTGCAAAAGCTGGAACCTGTGTAAGGCGGAAACCTGTCAGAGAAGGAAAACTCAGATGTTTTCCACTAAAACGAGTGATCAAAAAGTGCTAAGACTGCACCCTGCCAAAGGCAGAAAACTTGAGAAACCTGGAAAAACAAGGCAGTTGCATCAGGTTCGGGCT